CCTTGAGGCCAAGAACTCTTTCTTAAACGTTTCTATAGCCTCAGCCTTTAGCATCTACCTTAGACATATCTTGATATCAATTATGTTTGCTGAATAATTGAAAATCTAGTCATCTGGAATAACATCCTTGAGTAGAAAATTTACTGGCTTAAATGTTTATTTGTATCAATACAAGATCTAACTACTGCCCTTATTACTATTTTTTAAAAATTTTTATTTGGAAGGGGGTAAGAGATGAGAGAGAGAGAGAATCTCCCCATCTTCAGGTGAATTTCCCAAATGCCCACACAGCCAGAGCTCAGCCAGGAGGCCAGAACTTGATCTGAGTCTCCCATGTGAGTATTAAGTACTCAAGTACTTCAGTCATTACCTGCTACCTTTGGGGTGTGCTTTAGCAGGAAGCTGGAATTGGAAATGGAAATGGAGCTGAGGCTTTAACACAGACATTGCAGAGATAACTCAGGAATGGTATGCCTAAGGTTTTGCCTTGATTTTGTTTTTTAATTAACATGAATATAATGCATAGAATGTGGCTGATAATCAGTAAATGAATTTTCTTATTTTTCACCCCAATATTTGGAAAGGGTTTTGTAGTTGCTACTATGGAAAAGTTGGTTTTGATTTAGATTTTAACTCCTTAAGAATTTCAATGAGATCTAAAGGAAGTAAAATAGTCTGGAGGAAAGTAAATTTTAGATGAATTTATATCTAATCTTTAAAATGGACATAAATGGGTTGATTGTGATGGCTGGCTCACAAGAATTAGACATTAAATGATGTGTTTTCAAAGCACTTTAGAAAGTATATGGGTCAGGGTAGGTGGGTGACTCATTAAATGAAGGAATTTCTTGCAATTTCTCTTTCTTGAAATTTCTCTTTCATGTTGCTTCTGTGTGAGTAAGAATGGCTTTGCCTTCACTGGAAACTCATAATTAACTTGTGTAGGCCTAATAATTGTTGGTGAGTGGAATTCATTGTTATTTACATCCATCGCTAGCCAATTGTGAGTCATCATCTATTCACTGTGCTATTTAAAGATGAAAAACACTATGCATTTAACTCAGTTTTCATTATTGGAGATTGTATTGTCCAGCAACAAGACAATTAAAGAAATCTACATATAATTAAACTAACCCATAACACCTGTGGCAATCAATCAAGACCAAGATGAGATAGCTGCTTCAATAATATACACACTCACTTGGAGGAATGTACATTCACACATTAGAAGGGATTCCACAGCCTCAACATTTTAAAAACATGGTAGCCTGGAAGGTGACGAGAGGAAGAAGGGCTCATATTGGTCCCTTGTTCCATAACAGGTGGTTCTCAAACTTTAATGTACACCCAAATCACGAGGGGATCTTGTTTAAAGGCAGATTCTGATGTAGTAGGTCTGGGGTGACACCTGTGATCCTGCATTTCTAACAAACTCCTAGCAGATGCCAATCTTGTTCATCAGGAAGAGAGAATCTGGAAGACTAAACACTAGTAACAACTCTGAACATGAGCCCCAGGTGGCCTTTTTTGGTATTTCAAGTAAGGCCAACCAAATTCACTTTTGCAAGTTGGTTCAGAAAGCAGCTGCATGTGGTAATCATATCTAAACTACTTTTGTCTGAGAGCACTTTACTCAGGTTTTCAAAATCACATCTCCCTCCTGGTCTCCACAATGGTCCCACAAACCAGTCACAAAGTATTCTCTCCTAGACAATTCACTGGATCCTCAACAAATATGTTCCAAACAGAACTCATTATCTTGCTGATGTCCAAACCCAGGCTTTCTTCTTGTGCAGGGTACTTGCCCAAGTCACCAACACCAGCATTAGCCTTCCTCTCCTTTCCCTCAGCAAATAGTTCTGCCAATTTTCCCTTTAAAGTGACTCCTAAATCTGTTTACTTATCTCTATCTGTGCTTCTATTTCTCTAGTTCATGGCATATCTATCTATCTATCTATCTATAGAGAGAGAGAGAGTGAGCAAGCAAGCTTGGAGCAAAGTTGCAGTCTCCTACCTGGTCTTACCTCTCTACCCTATACATTGCAGCCAGCATGATTTCCTTGTCTTCACTCCTTATTTGGGATGCTTCAATGGCTCCCTTCTGCCCGAGGAGTAAAGTACAAACTCACCAGCATGATTCATTGGCTTCTCATCCTCTAACTCCAGCTTACCTCTCTGACTCTTTCCATTTTCTAACTCCCCTTGAGTTTTGTACTTGAGTTAGATTTAAGTGCCATGCCATTGTCTTCTTCCTGCCTATTCCAGAAGCTAAAAGCTCCTCCTGGAACTGCTTGTCTGACCTTTCTGCTCACAGCTCAAAAAATTCATTTTTTTGGAAGATTTATTTATTTATTTGAAAGTCAGAGTTAGAGAGAGGAGAGGCAGAGAGAGAAGAGAGAGAAGAAAGAGAGAGAGGTCTTTCATCTGATGGTTCACTCTTCAGATGGCCGCAATGGCTGGAACTGCGCTGATCCAAAGCCAGGAACCTGGAGCTTCTTCCAGGTCTCCCACGTGGGTGCAGGGGCCCATCTACTGCTTTCCCAGGCCATTCTTCTCATTCTTATCTTTCTCTGTAGGTCTTCCCTGCCCTCTCCAGTTTAGGTTTGATGTCCTTTTCAAGTAGTCTCTAACTACCCTTCTCATAGTGCCTCTCTCTAGTTTGTAATTTTGTTTATTGGTAGACATTGTATTTAGCATGTAATAAGTACCCAATACAAACTTGCTGGATAAATGTATGATTATAAAATAAACACCCATTAGGAAAAAATCTTCTCAGGATGTTAATGGCCTGGGCAGTCTCTTTTGTATGCCTCAGAACTTGGGAGGAGGCAACCACACAATTCTCCATTTCTCATCTCTAAGAATCTTTGGAAAATGACTATCACTGTGTGTGCTAACAACATGCTGCCTTACCAGGAGCAGCATGGTCCTTTGTTGATGTCTCATGGTTGGCTCTTTAATTAGAGGCAAAGAAAATTCATCCTGACACTCTACATTACTGGACAGTATCTACATGAGGCATTTTCTACTTCGTAACTAATGTAAACAAATTATCAAAAACTTCCTCTGTCCCTATTGGAGAACTTTCACCCCAAGTACTTAATTTAATTTAGAAACCTTGCATGTCAATGAAGTTCAAAATATCAGTGGGGTGGAGATTAGAGTTCGCGGTTGAACCCACTCATTTATGGATAGAAAGCACAGTCTGTTGAAATGCAGTAACTTGTCCAAGGGAGCTAACTGAGTTCCCTTGTGATAGTGTTGATAAGAGCACTTTATCCATATTATTTAAAACATTCACTACAACTCTGCACAATTTGTATTATTATTCCCTTTATATACAAAAGGAAATGAAGGCTAAGAGCATTAAGCAACTTGTCAAGGTCATATTGGTAGAAAGAAGCTCCTTTAGGGTGCAGACCCAGTGTTGCCCTTTCCCAAAACTGGATTTCTGCTTTAGCTGTGGAAGCATGGCATGTGGAGAGCAAAAAAGGAGGGGGACCTGGGCTGGCAATCTGGCTTTGATGTCACTGCACTCTGAGTCACATATATGCCACATACCCTCTACAGGCTGCAACTGAACACATTTGAAAGAACTGAGGGAATTATATGCCACAATTTGGGATACTTTTGACAGTGAACATTGAATGTCAAAGACAGTGTTGATATGTCACAGCTTACCTCTCGCTATTTTTTTAAAAAGATTTATTCATTTGAAAGTCAGAGTAATAGAGAGAAGGAGAGTCAGAGAAATTTTCTATCCACTGGTTCATTCCCCCAAATGACAGCAATGCAAGAGCTGGGCCAGACCAGTTGGGCCAGGAGCCAGGAGCTTCTTCTGGGTCTCCCACGTGGGTAGCAGGGGCCTGAACTTGGGCCACCCTCTGCTGCTTTCCCATGTGCATTAGCAGGGAGCTGTATGGGAAGTGGAGCACCAGGATACAAACCAGCGCCCATATGGGTAGTGAATTAACACACTACGCTATAATGCCAGCCCCACCTCTCGCTCTTTGAATTCCCATTGTCCATGTTCACAAGCTATTCCTTGCCTCCACCCAACTCCCAGCCTCCATGTTCTCAGTGGGGAGGCTTAAATGTCTGCAAATTCACCTCCTCTGGACTATCCTTTGGTCAAAGTCTGGAGAGTGTAGGAATTGTCAAAGTCTGGCTCTCTGTTCAGGAGTGTACAAATCTGAGAACTGTGCCTCTTGTTTTTCCATCCTGCTTCCTCCATCCCTTACTGGCCCTCTCTGGAAGCACTTCCTTAATGAATCCTTTGCACACACCTTCACTAAGACTCTGCTTTCAGACAATCTGACCTGGGGCAGTAGTAGGTTTATAGAGAAGACCATTTGTACTTGACTGTGTTCCCAAGAAAGTCAAGAACCTCCCTTTGACATATTTGAAAAAAAAAAAGGAAGTATACAATTATCAACTAGGTGGATGACATCAGTGTGGATATTGTTTGATAGGAAGGTAGATGAGATAATCCCTCAAGGAATTAAGAATCAAACCTCACTGAATCAGACTCCTTGCAGGTGGGCCTCTTTCAGATTTCTGTTCAGCAAAAAGCATGCAAAACGATCCCCACGTGGAGTGATGTGCAACGACTTATTTAAGAAACACTCTCTTCTCCACTCAGCGAATCGATTCACTCACCAGCACCTCTGCTGCAGGGCTGAGGATTGCAGTTTTGGAATTCTGGAGGTCTGGGTTCATGATCACACAGGCACTGTGCTGGATCTTCGAGTGTACTGTTCTCTGAGGGGACACAACGCACAGTCCTCTTCTGGAGGCCGCCTCCGCAGGAAGCAGTGCACTGCAAGAGAAGGGTGCACAGTCAATTATTCCCCAGAACCACTGAGAGAGCACAGCAGAGTGCCGCTAGCACAGCTGTGATTGAGCAGGGGGCAGTCTCTCCATTATCAGAAACCTTTTGGAAGAGTCATAAAGACATTAATAGTTTGCAGCTGAGAGTTTAGGAAGGGTCTTATATGATGGGTTGCGTGGATTGAGTTTGGTTTAGTTTACTGTTTGGTTCTCTAAAGAATGTTCCCTTTTTCCTGTGTTTGAGAATGATCTATTGTCTTCCCCTACATAGTTTCACCACTGGGATCCAGGCAGCCTTCTGAGCACCACGGGATCCAACTCACCCAGCCACACAGGAATGGTCCCAGGAAGGATTCCTAAATCAAGTTGGGCCAATTAATCACTTCCTTGGAAATTTGAAATTGAGACCCAGCAAAAGGTTACATCTGAGGCTGAATTATGCAAAGTTGGGTGCAGTTGTGGCTGTATTTCCTGCTAACCAGAAGGCAAGAAAGCTAGATGACAGAAGACATGAGTGGAAGGAAGCACATTATTAGAGAAGAGTGGAAATGAGAGGTGGTGTGCTGACAGGGTCTTAATATCCTTGGTCCACCTGAAACTCCCAACCCTGAATCATGAATACATAGAGTGAAACATAAGGAGGGAAGTTGAATTACAAGCGAAACAGAAGAAAATGGGCTGGCTTTTTTGCCTCTGCTTTTCAGTTTCTCTGAACTAGTTTTGATTCAGGCTGGGAATCAGATGTGGGGAAAACAGCTGAGAGTAGGGAGAAAAGAGAAGTGGGAGAGGAAGACCTGGATGGAATGGGGGGGAGCATGTGCACTGGAGGCAGCGACAGGGCAGAGTATGGAGGTTGGGGCAGCCATGTGTGGTCTCAGGACATTCTAACAGACAGGACTCTAGTGCAAGGCCATGATTGATTCCCTACAGCAGGAGGGCGATGCCCACCACGTGGAAGCAGCTTCTATACGATGATTCCTGGGAATGTCAAAAAGTATGCATTCTTTTTTAAAAATTATTCTTTTGTGGTAAAACATAGAAAACAAAATCTACATTTTAACCATGTTTAGTACATAGCTCAGGTACGTTAAAAACATTCACACTGTTGTGCAACTATGACCATCCATCTCTAGATCACTTTTATCTTCCAAACTGAACCTCTGTACTCATTAAACAAGAATTTCTCATCTCCCGTCCCTACAGCCAGCCCTCAATAACCATCATTCTATGTTTTTTTCTTTATGAGTGTGAATACTGTAGGCTCCTTGCATAAATGGAGTCACACAGTTTTGTTCATTTCTGAGTGGCTTATTTCAATAAGGACAATATATTTGAGTTTTATCCAAACTGTAGCATGTGTCAAAATTTCATTTTTAAGATCGAATCATGTTGCATTATAGGAATATACCACAAGTACCAGAAGTTGTTTATCTATTTGTCTATCGATAGAGCCTTAGGTTCTATTTTTAGCCATTGTAAATCACTTACACTCTTACGATTTACATTGACATCATGTTAAATTACTTTTAACTTCATCTTTCTTATACAAGGACACTCCAAAAAGCTCATTGTCAATAGAATTAAAAGTAAGTTTATTTTGGTATAAAAATTTTTGAAATCAGTGCACAGGTTTTTCATAATATGCATTTTCAAGAACTTTTTGAAGACCCATTATATGCATGGAGTTCAACATTTTTGCACTAAAATAAACTGATCTTTAAATCCTATTTCTATAAACTTTTTGGACTACTCTTGTATGAATCAAAACCTCCCAGGGGTCAGAAGCCAGTTCCTTTTTCTTTCATGCTTCACAGCAATTAGCACAACATTAAATAAACACTCACTGGTAACTGGCCAAAAAGGACATCGGTATGGAAAATTATGGAAAAATTACTAGACTCAAAGGTTTTCACTCGCTACTTAAAATATTACTGGACACCCAGCTCACTAGATAAGAGAATATTTACTCTTGGCTTACTGATAACTCAGAACACTGCCACCCAGTCATGGCTTCTCACAGAGACTTCCCATACAGATGATAAAAGGAGAGTATCATATTTTTTAACATCACTAATCCATATTATTTTACTCTTTATAGTGCTTAGAGTATGGTGATTGACAGGGAATCTCATGCTGTGTAATTAAGTCAGACCTATCTGTGATGAAACCTGAAGGTAATTTTACACAGTGAATTCACCCCAAATTCTCCATGGTTGTGGTTAAAGAAAAAGAGAGAAAGAGAGAGACAGAGAGACAGACAGACATACACACACACACACAGAGAGAGAGAGAGAGAGAGAGAGAGAGAGAGAGAACTATTCAACTGATCTTTAGTGAATAAAAGAGCACAGGGAAGAACTGTGGAAAGTAATCAAACCATAGTGTGGAATGAATATTGGGCTAGGATTTAGCAGACTTGGGCTTTCTTGAACATTCATTGTTTTCCTGGATCCTTCATTCCACCCCACTCTTCTTCTGTGAAATAAGATTGTCACATAAAGACCAAATGTTTCCAGAGTTCAACAAATATAAGGGTACTTCAAAAAGTTCATGAAGATGATATTAAAAGATACATTTATATGGCACAAAAAATTGAAATTCATGGAAAGCTTTTTTTTTCATACCACACATTTTCTGTGAGCTATCTGAAGACTCCTCATACTTGCTGAGGTACTGCAGCTGTGGGGAGCAACTCGGACTAGACTAAGTTACTGGAATTAGGACTTATTCTATGCATCTGCTCTCCCACAATATGGTGCTGGGAGAGAAGAAAACAGCTTCTACACAGCTGCCTCCAGTTCAGCCAATAAACTGTAGGACTTGCTCCTGATTGGAGGAGAGCAGCGTACTCGGCGTGTGGGCAGCCGAGTTGGGATTGGCAGAGGAGGACTATAAAGGAGGAGAGAGACGGCATGCACCAGGAACATCTAAGGGGAACATCTATCTGAAGGAACATCTGAGCAGCCCCTGAGAGAGCCGGCCAGCGGTGTGCCGCTCCCCTGCGGAAGTGGGGAATGTGGCCAGGGGGAACTGCCCTTCCACGGAGGTGGAAGGGATAGTAGCCAACCCGGGAAGAACCAGCAACAAACCTGGGGAGGGCCGAGCAGACGAAAGAACAGCGCAGGGTCTAGTGTCGTTCCCCCACGAAGAGGGGGAGCGACATAATGGTGCCGTGACTCGGATATGAAGCCTAGGCAGGGCTTAGTGTCGTTCCCCCACGAAGAGGGGGAGCGGCATAATGGTGCCGTGACTTGGATAGGAAACCTAGGACGGATAGGAAACTTAGGAGGGAAGAAACGGGAAGAAGCAGGAAAATATCGGAGAGAGAGACTAGCAAACAGCCTAGGGAAAAGCCGGACGAAAAAGGTGCCGGAAGAAGCTATTGAAAGCCTAGGGATAGACTCAGATACGGACTACGGGGGGAAGCTGGGAGAAATCTCTAAGGTCGAAGGCGAAAGTGAAAGCTAGAACAAACAGACTCGGATACGGACTGTGGGGAGAGGCCAGGAGAAATGAGGGAGGAGTATTGTTGGAGGAAAGCTTGGGGAAACATACCGGGTAGAGAAAAATGTTAGGGAAATTGAAGCTGCGGGGGCAGGCCGAGGCGGAGACGAAAGCCACTTTGGGATTCTCAAGTTAGCCTGGGAATAAGGGGCGAAAAGTTGAAACCAGAAGCGGAAACGTAAGCCAGATTGGGATCCGTCTGATTAGCCCGGGGAGCAAAGGACGGGAAGCCAAATCGTGGGGCGGAGACGTGAGCTGGGTTGAATTCGCCAGGTTAGCCCGGGGAACTTAGATTGAATGCTAGTGGTGGAGACGTAAGCTACGCTGTGTGACTCGCGGAGGCTGCCGCGCGCAGAGAGAGCGTGCGGGGCACAAGTAGATAGGGAACGCTGGGCTAGTGCGAGACCGCGGAGTGTGCGCGCGAAGCCAAGCCGTGCAGATAAGAGAAGTGTGCTGAAGCGGCTCAGCCGGGAAGCCGCCAAGAAGCAGCCTTGGGGCGGGCGCCGGGAAGCCGCAGGGATAAGAGAAACAGAAGTTTAGAAGTAAAATGAGAGAAATAGGAATGCTGGAAGATAGAAGTAAAATGGGAGAAATAGGAATGCCCAGAGATAGAGAGATAGAGAAATAGAGAAAGGCCTCCCCACAACACAGCAATGAGAGAGCTTGGATTCGGTCTGCCTGATTAGTGAGGCGATGAGCACCTGTGGGCGGCTAGCAGCTTATGCGCCGCAGGTCACCGAAGACAGGCACGTTATTAACATCAATAGTCTCCCCACAATACCGCAATGAGAAGGCTTGGATTCGGTCTGCCTGATTAGTAGGGCGGTAAGCACCAGCAGGCAGCTCGACCAGAGTATGAGCTGCAGGTCACCGAAGATAGGCACGAACCAACACTAATAAGTCTCCCCCACAATACGGCAATGAGAAGGCTTGGATTCGGTTTGCCTGATTGTTAGGGCTTGTAAGCCCCTGCAGGCAGAGCAGAGCATGCGCTGCAGGGCACCGAACACAGGCACGCATCAGTGCCTAAAAACCTCCTCACAACATGGCGAAGAGAGGACCCGGATTCGGTTTGCCTGATTGATAGGACTTGTAAGAACCTGTGGCAACTCTAGCAAGTAGAGCAGAGTGTGTGCCGCAGGACACCGAAGACAGGCGCGTATCAACGCCAAAAAATAAAAAGAAAGGGGGATCTGTGGGGAGCAACTCGGACTAGACTAAGTTACTGGAATTAGGACTTATTCTATGCATCTGCTCTCCCACAATATGGTGCTGGGAGAGAAGAAAACAGCTTCTACACAGCTGCCTCCAGTTCAGCCAATAAACTGTAGGACTTGCTCCTGATTGGAGGAGAGCAGCGTACTCGGCGTGTGGGCAGCCGAGTTGGGATTGGCAGAGGAGGACTATAAAGGAGGAGAGAGACGGCATGCACCAGGAACATCTAAGGGGAACATCTATCTGAAGGAACATCTGAGCAGCCCCCGAGAGAGCCGGCCAGCGGTGTGCCGCTCCCCTGCGGAAGTGGGGAATGTGGCCAGGGGGAACTGCCCTTCCACGGAGGTGGAAGGGATAGTAGCCAACCCGGGAAGAACCAGCAACAAACCTGGGGAGGGCCGAGCAGACGAAAGAACAGCGCAGGGTCTAGTGTCGTTCCCCCACGAAGAGGGGGAGTGACATAATGGTGCCGTGACTCGGATATGAAGCCTAGGCAGGGCTTAGTGTCGTTCCCTCATGAAGAGGGGGAGCGGCAGCAGCAAATTCTTGCTCTGTGAGAAGCTAGGTCAAACGGAGAAATATAAAGCAGAGAGCCGATTGATATCTTACAGGCCCAGGTCCTTCAGATCTGGAAAATTTCTTCTTGCACAGACCCTTTGATCATATTCTCCCTTCTATTTTCTCCATTTGCCCTTTTGCCCTCCTTGATGGCTTAGGCCTCTGATTCTTCTAATCTTTTATCTCAGTTTCTGTCTTTGTCTTCTTTTTCTTGAGAGATTTCCTCAAATTATTGTCCCAATCCTTCTACTGAAGACGTAGTTTCTTTTGCCATTTAAATTTTGTAAGGTCTCCTTCTGTTCTTGAATATTTTTTTTTATGTAACTTCTTGTTTATGTCACAGATGTAGTCTGTTATTTATCTGAAGAGATTAAATACCATTTTTCAGGAAGAATACATTTGTTTCTTGCATGGTCTCTATTTGCTCAGAGTTCCTGTTCTAATTGTCTTGCTAGTTTGCCTTTTGGCATGAAGGGTTTTCTCAAATGTCTGATAATCTTAGGCTAAGTGATTTCCTTTCAGAATAAGTTACCCAGGCTCCTACTGAGAATTCCTGGGTGGCAGTTGATAAGAGATGACTCTACACAGGGTGATCAGGAAGAGATAATTTTGTAGTTATTTTTTTTTTCTCATGACATTAAGCCACTCCTCTGCCTCTGTAGAGCTCAATGAGGGGAGAGCAAAGCATCCCATCATTTACCATATGTATTTTTTAAAGATTTATTTATTTATTTGAAACTCAGAGTTATACACAGAGAGAAGGAGAGGCAGAGAGAGAGAGAGAGAGGTCTTCCATCCACTGGTTCACTCCCAAATTGGCCACAATGGCCGGAGCTGCACCACCTGAAGCCAGGAGCCAGGAGCCTCTTCCCTTGATTCTCCCACATGGTTGCAGGGACCCAAGGACTTGGGCCATCTTCTACTGCTATCCCAGGCCATAGCAGAGAGCTGGATCGGAAGAGGAGCAGCTGGGACTAGAACTAGAGTTCATATGGGATGCCGATGCTTCAGGCCAGGATTTAACCCACTGTGCCACAGCACCGGCCCCTTTCTTCTTCTTCTTTTTTAAAGATTTATTTATTTATTTGAAAGTCAGAGTTACACAGAGAGAGAGGGAGAGACAGACAGGCAGAGAGAGGTCTTCTATATGCTGATTCACTCCCCAGTTGGCCGCACCAGCAGGAGCTGCACTGATTCCTGGCCAGAGGCCAGGAGGTCCTTCTAGGTCTCCCACATGGGTGCAGGGGCCTAAAGACTTTGGCCATCCTCCACTGCCCTCCCAGGCCACAGCAGAGAGCTGGATCAGAAACGGAGCAGCCAGGACTCAAACTGGCGCCCCACCAGCTATGCCGCAGCGCAGGCCCCCTTTTACCATATGTATTTTCATTTGCCACCACCAACTGTGCTTTACTCTGAAGTCTCTGGTGTAGCTCTCCAGAGAGAAGACCTCCAGGCTATCATTGGGACAGAGAGAATCTAAAGATTCTCCTGCTTCTCTTCCAACCTTCAATCCACCTCCTACCCTCACCCCTGCCTTCAGAAGCATCTGAACAGATTGTCTGCTTCTTGGCAGTCCTGTGACAGCCAGCTTGTAGCTTTCTCTGCATTGCTAAGTCTCTAAGTCTATTGTAAGTTTGACCATCTCCTTCCAGCTTTTCAAGTTTTACTGACCCCTCTTTCTGCTGTCTCCTGCCCTATCTTTGACTTTGTGGGTATGTAGCATTTTTGCTGTGTTATCCTTTCTGCCTATTTAGTGGTTTTGGGGGGAAAAAAGGTAAATGTGTATTTTAAATCCATAGCTTGTCTTTTTCACTTCACAATAGATTATGGAGGTTGGGAGTGATTCCAAGGCTGGCTCCAATGTTAGCCACTCCCCACCATCTCTTTCTTTCATAAATACAATTGATGAATTCCTGATATAGGGCTCTTCCAAGGACACTTCAACTTATGTCCACTTCCAATAGGCTACCATTTCCAACTCCCTCAGGGGATTGTCCACAAGACTTAAAAATGTTCTTTCGTAGTTTTTAATCTTTTGTGAGAATTTGTGCCCCCAAAGAGTCAGCACTTACTCCCGACACTGAGCAATGATCAGTAAGGTAAAATAACCAGGCCAGTAATGTACCGTTTCAGGCTTCAGTCTCCTTTTTCTCTGCCTTATTCTTATTTTCTATCACTGCTGCTTCCCTACTGTTGCATTTCCTAATAAAGTATTAGATTTCACATCAAGAAAACCCTTGATTTTCCAGAAAATTCAGGCTAAGACAAGATTCTGATGGCAAGAAACTATGGTTGAATTATCTTTATTTTCAGCATCACTGATACAGTGTTACTTATGCAATAAATAACCTTCCAGAGAATAATAAATTCCCCACAGTTTAATTACTTTGTTTATCTCCCCATCAAACATGTTGGCCATCTGGCAGACTGATCTGCTGAGGAAGGGCTGAAAACCACTAAGTCAGACTAACCCTGCAGTTTCAGGACACGGGTAATTCATCTAGGAAAGGTGTTGGGTCCCAAAAAGCCTTTCCTTAGGCTTTGTTCTCTTGGCATAATTTTGGTATTCAATCTTTCTTTGTGTGAAAATATTTGCTCTTTTCTCTTCTGAACTCAAGACAGTAAACATGGATCCACAGCAGCTGTGGATCAGCTTCTCGTAGATTTGGAAATGATCAATGGCAGAACAGCACAAAAACAAAAGGGTATAGAATCACAATGTGAATCAATGACTATCTCAAATATTTACTTTTATAACCCAAAGAAAATGAATGCCATTTTATTTTATGAAGTTAAAGTCAAATGAAGCTTCTATAACTAATTCTTACCAGGTCCCAGTTCCCAGTGGTCCAATGACAGCAAAGGTGCGCATTGCAGGTCCTGGTGGACGTGGGCTTTTTGGCCCAGTCACAGCGGCCTCCAGGGCAAGAGACTCCTCTCTCCTGAACTCCGCCTCCACAGGACCTGGAACACTGTATCACAACAGGGAGAAGATCAGGGAAAACCCAGATGGTGGCAGACTCAGCGATAGGGGAGAACTTTTCACCATCACTTTGGTCGTCTATCATATCCTTAGGAATATTAGCAACTGTATTGGAATCTGTGACATCCTTTTGATGACTCTAGTTACTTAAAACAAAAATGGGGAAACAAGAATTAAAGGGTGAAGGTGATGGGGTAGGGTCGATAGAGGAAAACTTGAAGATCAACAGGAAGAGGAACATGAAAAGATGCCAAATGGCCCAATGTTATACAATATGTCAAAAGTAAAGAATTTTGGTTAAAACCCTAAATGAATGGTCACTCCATAAGGGATGTTATGTTATCTGCATTTTGCTTTGGGGCACAAGGGTCTAGAAACCAAATCTAAGTTTAAAGGTGTTTTTATAATGATTGGCTTTGATAGCCCCAGAGGGGGGCTCACATTTGTAATATGTTTTTATTTTTATTTATTTATATATTTATTTTTAAGAAAGCTTTTATTTAATGACTAAAAGTTTCATAGGTACAGGTTTAGGAACATAGCAGTTCCCCCCAACCTGCCACCCATCCCCACTCCTGTCCTACCTCCTACTCCCTCTCCCATCCCATTCTTCATTAAGATTCATTTTTAATTAACTTTATATACAAAACACCAATCTATACTAAGTAAAGATTTCAACAATTTGCACCCACCCCTACACACAAAGTATAGTGTTTGAAGACAAATTTTACCATTAATTCTCATAGTACAACTCATTAAGGACAGAGGTCCTACCTGGAGAGTAAGTGCACAGTGACTCCTGTTGTTGATTTAACAATTAACACTCTTATTTATGACGTCAGTGATCATCCCAGGCTCTTGACATGAGCTGCCAAAGCTATGGAAGCCTTTTGAGTCCATAAACTCCATCAGTATTTTTACAGGGCTTTAGGCAAAGTGGAAGGTCTCTCCTCCCTTCAGAGAAAAGTACATCCTTCTTTGATGGCCCCTTCTTTCACTGGAGTCTCACTTACAGAGATCCTTCATGTAGAACATTTTTTTTTGCCACAGTGTCTTGGCTTTCCATGTCTGAAATGCTCTCATGGGCTTTTCAGCCAGATCCTAATGCCTTAAGGGCTGATTCTGAGGTTAGAGTGCTGTTTAGAGTGTTTGTCATTCTATGAGTCTGCTGTGTGGCCTGCTTTCCATGTTGGAACATCCTCTCCTTTTTAATTTTATCTATTGTTATTACCAAACACTTGGTCTTATTTATGTGATCCCTTTGACACTTAATCCTATCTATATGATCAATTACACACTTAATATGATCACTTTAACACGTAAGATGACATTGGGATTCGGTTTTCCTTTCCTGCTACACAAAGTTTTAGAATTAAATGTGTCCATATTATGAACAATGAAATTGATAGATTCATTTGTGATTCTGATGCATTGACTGTAATGTTCCCAAAATAAATTCAAGATGACAAGTTGGATTTCTGAAGGGATATAGTTCTAAAAAACCTAATAAGTTATATTGTCTCATTTTCATGAGGTTTCTGGAAGAAAATTATGAATTCACCAAATCTTTGAAAACTATTCTGGGTACTTGGAAAAGCACTTTTGAAAAATCTTATTGGTTATAGCAATAACTACAGCAGTAAAACAATTACAACTATCTTGTCAATATTATGCCCATCACACCAGGCACTTATGTGTAGTGGTGCCATAGAATATGGCAATTACATACAATTAACCTTTTTTGTTCAATTGAAGAACTAATGTGTTATCCTCACAATATTCCAACTTTGAGAATCAGCATGGATTTCCCCCTAGTTATGCAGTATGCTCTTAACTCTGTATGAGAAGAGAAAACAAATCCTACTTTGGGGATTGCCATGTACTCCTACATAGGGGCATACAGATGCAGGGCCACCTGGCCAAGTAATCTGCAAGAAAAGGGGTGAAAGAAGTCTGGATAAACTGGTTCTCAAAGTGTGGTCTTCAGGTCTTCAAGTCTAGCATCCTCTGGGTACTTGTTGGAAATGCAAAATTTCAGGCCACATCTCAAACACTCTGTATTGGTTACCACCAAGGAGGTGCCACTCACTTGTGTTCTGACAAATCTTCTAAATTCTTTAGATGGTGATGCCAAAGTCTGCCTACTCCTGATGTACAGCTATTCCCACAGCTCTATTGCATCTGCCACATAGGTGGTAAGAGCTGGCTTAAATTTACTGATTAGGTCGAGAACATTCCCAGAATGGCAGTCCATTGGACAGTATGGACAGGCAGAGCAGCACCACAGTGGGCCAGAAGCCACCAAAGAAGCAGAATGTCTTTCTTGTATCCAGAAAGAAGGTCTGATTCTTGTGTTCAATAACCTGTGAAGGTTATTGCCTAGGTTGCTGCCTAGGAAACACCAGGGTGTGGTTCAGAGCTCAGGAAGCAGCATGAATGCTGGACCCGGGGGGAGGCAGGCAGCTCTAGGGAGCTCAGTTGGGCTTCCACATTGACTCTGTATCTTCAGGTTAGGGTTCTCCACCTTCTCTTCCTGGGCACTGAACAAGTTATCTATGCAGTGTTTCCTCAGTTTGCTCTGCTCAATTGCCTTTGGGCTAAGTTCTAGTGCAGAAAGAGCACATGCATTAATGCATTAGAGTCTGCCTATGTGTGAACTGAGAGTCCATCACTTATTTCCTAGTTGTGTGGTCTCAGGTAATTTTCTCAGCCTTTCTGAGCTTCAAAATCCTCACCCTTAAAATAAAATGAATAAGGCCTAACATATAGGCCAGTGTGAGAATTAGACCATGTGTTGTATGCAAAATTCCTATCCCATGTACATACTTAAAATATGCTGGGTTTCCAGCCATCCCACTCCCTGGAATTTACCCAAAGGAAATGAAATTGGCAAACAAAAAAGCAGTCTGCACATTAATGTTTATTGCAGCTCAATTCACAATAGCTAAGACCTGGAACCAACCCAAGTGCCCATCAACAGTAGACTGGATAAAGAAATTATGGGACATGTACTCTATAGAATACTATACAGCAGTCAAAAACAATGAAACCCAGTCATTTGCAACAAGATGGAGGAATTTGGAAAACATCATGCTGAGTGAATTAAGCCAGTCCCAAAGGGACAAATATCATATGTTCTCCCTGATTGGCGACAACTAACTGAGCACCAAAGGGGAAACTTGTTGAAGTTTAATGGACACTGTGAGAAACAGTGACTTGATCAGCTCTTGTCCTGACAGTTGATGTACAATGTAATACTTTATCCATTTTACTATTTTTTTTTTGTTCTAGTACCATTGGTTGAACTCTGTAATTAACACACAATTATTCTTAGGTGTTTAAATTTTAACTGAAAAGTGATCCCTGTTAGGAATCTGGAAAACATTATGTTGAGTGAAATAAGCCAATCCCAAAGGGACAAATGCCACTTGTTCTCCTTGATAGGTGACAACTAACTGAGCACCAAAAAGGAAACCTGTTAAAGTGAAATGAACACTATGAGAAACGGTGACTTGATCAGCCCTCACCCTGACTGTTGATGAGCAACTTGATATGTTATCCCTCTTAGTATTTTTTTGTTTGTTTGTTCTACTTAATACTTTTGGTTGAATACTGTCATCAATACACAATTCTTCTTAAGTGCTGAAACTTAACTGAAAAGTGATCACTGTTAAATATAAGAGTGGGAATAAGAGAGGGAAGAGATGTGCAATTCGGGACATGCTCAAGCTGATTTACCTCAAACAGTAGAGTTAGAAACATACCAGGGGATTCCAATTCAATCCCATTGAGGTGGCATGTACCAATGCCATCTCACTAGTCCCAGTGATCAATTTCTGTTCACAATTGATCGTAATGATAGGACTAAGAACCAAAGGGATCACATAAACAAGACTAGTGTCTGCAAATACTAGCTGATAGAATAAAAAAGGGAGAGAATGGTCCAACATGGGAAGTGAGATACACAGCAGACCCATAGAATGGCAGATGTCCTAAACAGCACTCTGGCCTCAGAATCAGCCCTTAAGGCATGCGGATCCGGTTGAAAAGCCCATGAGAGTATTTCAGGCATGGAAAGCCAAGACACTCTGGGGGAAAAAAAAAAACCTAAATGAAAGATCTCCACGAGTGAGATCCCAGTGGAAAGAATGGGTCATCAAAGAAGGAGGTACCTTTCTCTGAAGGGAGGAGAGAACTTCCACTTTGACCATGGCCTTGTCTAAAAATGATCAGAGTCAGTGAACCCAGGGGGCTTCCATAGCCTTGGCAACTCATGACAAGAGCCTAGGGTGATTACTGATGCCATAAACAAGAGTGTCCATTTGTTAAGTCAACAACAGGAGTCACTGTGCACTTACTCCTCATGTAGGATCTTTGTCCTTAGTGTGCTGTACATTGAGATTTAATGCTATAATGAGTACTCAAGCAGTATTTTTCACTTAATGTTTCTGTGCGAGAGCAAACTGTTGAAATCTTTAATGTACGCTAAACTGATCTTCTGTATATAAAGAGAATCGAAAATGAATCTTGACATGAATGGAAGGGGAGTTGGAGTGGATAAGGGGAGGGTTGCGGGTTGGAGGGACGTTATGGGGGGGGAAGTCATTGTAATCAATATTCTGTACTTTGGAAATTTATATTCATTAAATAAAAGTTAAAAAAATAAAATAAAATAAAAAGAAAAAAATATGCTGGGTTTCTCTGTTGTTGTTGATGATAATGGTCTTTTAGAAATGTTTATTTATTTGAAAGGCAAAGAGAAAGAGATAAATAGTAATCTTCTATCAGCTGGTTTACATCCCAAATGCTTACAATAGCCAGGGCTGGGCCAGGTCAAAGACAGGAGCCAGGAATTCAATCTGTGTCCACCAGACACAGGGACTCAAAAACTTGAACTATCACCTACTGCCTCTTAGGATGAAGGTTAGCAGGGAGTCAGGATCAAAATCAGAGTTAAGACTTGAACAACAGCACTTTGATATAGGTGTCCCAAGTAGCGTCTTAACTATGAGGACAAGCACCTACATATTTAATTTTGGTCTTTATTCTGTTTGGCACAGATGTAGTTAGGGGTATGTTTTAGCTCTCAAGGCGTGTGTCTCTTAGAAAATCATACCGTTCTACTCCACCAATGAACAGAAAACTAGTTTCATGTGATGATGCAGAACAAAGACCCAGCAGAGCTAGGGTCCTTGCAAAAGAGAGAACCCATACCCATACCATCTCACTTTTATTTGTGCAAATGATGATCTGGGCATGTAGCAGTGAGGTAGAACTATACAAGTATACTGGACGTGGAAAGGATATGCTCTCTCCATGACTTCAGCCCAGCTGCAGAAGCCTGAGAGGGGCACATGAGCTTTCAACCAAAATGGCTCTCAGCCAAGTGGTCCTTGTTCAAATCATTCCATTGTAGTTATTTTCCCAAAAGTCCCCGGTGAAGGTCTTCTGGCTCCTGTAGGTGTTCAGCTTCCCCGACACACCGTGGGATCAGTGAGGGGAGCCGGTCACTGGCAGGATGCAGACGTGGTCTGCCCTGACTTCCAGATCCATGTGCTGACCCATGCCAGGCTGTACATCGGTGTAACTCCCTTTCTGGAGATCTTACCTGGCTCCAGGGCTCCACCTGCCACTCCTCACAGGGCTCTGGGTTACAGCTCATACTCAGTGGGGGAGGAATGCCGGCCAGGAACTGGCAATGAAACGGCCTCAGGCTCTGTTCATCCCTGCTGTCCAGGCACTGAATCTCGCGGATCTTGAATCCCCCACTGCAGTTTCTGGAGCACTGTTGGGAGAGCAAAAGCAAAGGCAACACCTGAGTGCTCAGTATTGGGTCTCCATTCCTATCTACCAAAAGGTAGAGGCTCCAGGCTTCCAGTCTGAGTGAAGGGTTAGGTATACTTCAATTGAACCTTGTGTTCCTTTTCATGCAATAGAGAGGAAATCACACAAGCAGGTGCCCAAATGGGGCTATGACGTCAGAACACAGGCAGAAAATTGAGAGGGTTTCTTTTTTCCTTTCCTTCCTTTGAGAGTAAGGGAGAAGTGGGGGGAGGGAGAGAAAGAGAGAGAGAATGTGAGAGCAATACTCCTGTCTTACTCTTATCTGCTAGTTCACTCCCAAAGGCCAACAATTTCCAGGGCTGGGCCAGACTGAAGCCAGGAGTGAGGAACTCAATGTGGGTCTCCCATATAGGTGACAAGGATCCACTACTTGAGGTTGCCACCTGTTGCCTCACAGGTTAGCAGGAAGCCAGAATCAGGAGGAGAGCTACAACTCAAACACAGGCATTCTGACATAGCATGCAAGAATTCCAGCTGGACCAAACACCTGCCCCAGTGTGTGAGTTCTGATGTCGGATAGGAGTGGTTAAGTTACAGAACCACTCAGAGCCTCGAGAGCCACATCTGTGACCTGGGATGATGACAGCTACCCCCAGGCTGTTCTGAAGTCTGTAGACACTGAGAGTGCAGTGCCTACTGGTACACTCTGTCTCAGTGCGTGCCTGTCCCCCCTGGAATTCTGTCCTCATTCCTCTCAAAGAAGCCCACCTACCACTGTCCAAGAAGGGGGCATCTAGGTTCCCCATGAGGGGAGCTGTCTGTCAAGGTCCTTCCACCCCTTTCTAAGGATCCTGCTAAAATAGATTTTCTACATGATTTTGAATACTAATCAGGTTACTGTGTCTCTTAGGCAAGGCCTGTAGCAGGAAAATTCATGGAACATCTGCTCAATGGCTTGACTCATGGGAATGAGCTATCCCTGTCCTTGTCCCCACTACCATCCTTCCTCCTACACCTGCCATCACCTGCCTCCACCACTGAGAGTCTTCTCAGCACATCCCTACTGAAAGCCATTACATGGGCCCTAGGAACTCCCCTCTTCCCACACTCTCAGCCTTGTGTAGCCATGTCTGTGCCTGCTCTGTCTCAGGAAGGGGATGCTCAGGCTGCTGAATTATTCTGATGGATCATGACAAATGTTAGTGGGCTTGGGTCCACTAACAAAAAAAGAGCTCATGCGGCCTTTTGTAGAGTACTACCTTTGTTGGCATTCTGACCTCTTGGATTTTGGCGGCTGCATGTCCCTTTGGCTTGTCTTGCCTCTGCATCCTGGTCTCCCTCATGGGACTGGCCTGACTTTTCTTGTCCCTGTCTACATCCAGGTGGGGACCTCAGGTAGGTAGAATGGAGATGGATTCCTGTGCTCATTAATTCAGCTTCTTCCCCAGATTCTCCCTAGTTTAATCCTATGTCCTTGAAGTTCTTATGACTAAGCATTTCCTGCTTCCCTCTCTGCATTACCTATCATTGCTTTTCTTTTATGTCTCAGCTAAAATGAGACACCACCCCAGAGAGATCTTCCTTGGATATTTTATACATGAAGGTGCTTTCTACTGATAGTTATCATAGCCCTTTCTCTGTGTCTATCATAGGAACTTGAAACATAAATCAGCTTTTACTTAATCTGTGCAACCTTAGACTATCACTGCCATGAAGGTAAGCCCAACCTGCCTTATTCAGCATGTGTCGTGAGTACTTAGCATGGGGCCAGTGTAGACAGTTAAGAAAGATTTGTTGAATCAATGTATGAATTCTGAGAAAATGCCAGCTGGGTGAGATCCCAGTGGGCTGAGGATATCTCTGGTCCCCACGAGGTAAAGAACATCTTTCGTTATCCTCCCGATGCTCTCATTAATTATGTCATATGCAGTCTAGGCTAAAGAAAGGTGCCATCAAGAAAGGGTGTCTTTTCTTTTAAAGTATATTTTCATCTGGCTGTCTTCTCTGCATGGTAAAAGATCATGCTCTCTTTCTGGCTATGGTAGAATAATTGTGATTATAATTTAGGTTGTGAAAAGAAAATTCCCCAAGGCTTTTCAGTAGAAATGAACTCCAAATACTGCTCTCCTTCCTCTGCAAATTGATAGACCAGGCTATAGTTCCAGGCTCCCAGCTTCAGCCTGGACTAACCCCAGCTATTGTGATCTTTGGGGTCTCTCTCTCTCTCTCTCTCCCCCGTCCCTCCCCATTTTTCTGTCACTGTGCTTGTCAAATAAAGAAATAAATATTTTTAAAAGCAACTGCTAATTTAAAAATAGCATAGAACAAATGACAAAGTATACTGATAATGTCCACATAAGAAATTTGTAAGACATAGTATCTAATGGAGTTTTATTGTTTCCCATTTGTTGCTATAATCTGTTATTCTCAGATTTAATTTTTAAAGGAGTGTTACTTTTTTGTGTAGACCCTATACATATTCAAAGAGAGATTAAATTCACTAATATGTTGAAGTCAGTAATAAGGAAAGACAAATCTACGATTTTCTATTCCATTTTCTAAAAGGCTGATCCAGTTAGCAAGTGGGAATTGGCAGCATATAAAATCACTCCACTCCTCACGCAGTTCTGCCATCGGCTTGATGCCAACTGTTGTGTTCATTTTCTTGGTACCCTGGAAGAGGTCATTTGTATTCCTACTTTCCTAACATGGAGCCCAAGGACAAGAGCCATGCTAATGGAACAAAAAGATTGGCTGACACCCTGTTGAAATCACACAGGTCTGATAATTTTCCAGGTACTCCACCATTTGTTTAATTCAAAACAAACTCAGTTAGAATGAAAAATATCTTTAGCTGACAGAAACCTCTGGCAGAAATAAAATGCAATCTCACTTTTTTTCTTATGTTATTTTTAATTTATGAAGGAATCCTGATATAGTTTCCATGTTGGGTTCACACAGACTGTTCAGATAAGTATAGAGAAATTAACAAACCAAGATTAAGAGATCAACAGACTTCATTCAGGTAAGACCCTGGCACCACACAGATGCATGACGTGTAGATTAATTATGTTGCTTCTCAATGCCTGCATTTCTACATCAGTATTAAAAAGAAGATAAGCTAGATTAAACTACTCCAATAGTTATGAAGGGGAGAGGAACTTTCTATCATGGGCCATTTGGATTTTTATAACATTTTTCATGGACCATATAAAATTATCAACTTAAAAATTAGCCTGCTATGGATTTATTGGATTTTCAGTTCCATCTGCAGTTGCTGTGACAGGGCCAGGTCAAATGATTTCATGGGACTGATATGATCTGTGGGTCAGACACTCCCATCCCTGCTCTGGACTGTCATAAGGGTGTGGGATCACTGGATTTGTACTGAATTCTGTTTTGATTTTGGAATGTTTTTGCTCTTGAAGATATGTGCCAAACATTAAATAAGGATTCTTAAATAATTCATAAAGAATTCCTTCTGCTTGTTATTCCATGCTAAATACATTTATAAAACCTGAAGAATCAAATAATTTATTCCAAAGTCATACCCCCTTCCATTTCCTATAGTAATTGAGCAATTACTATGTTCCAAACTCAGAATCTCTATGGTTAAGTGGTTTGAAATCCATCAGGGGCAAGGCAGGTCATATAAGTGAGCAGAAGCAATAAAGATTATGAGCCTATGTTGTTCATGAGCTAGCGAGGGCACACAGTAGGCAGTCCATTTCAGTTGAAGAAGTCAAGAAAGGCATGAATAAAGGAGGTAGAACTTCAGCTGAGTCTTATGAGGAACTACTGCTCATTTGGATGGCAAAGAAGGGCAGGGGCTTCGGAAGTGGAGAGAAAGGCATGTACAGAAGCACAGTGTTATGAAATCACATGGCTTTCCTGGGAACAAAAAAATCAGTCAGAATGTGAGAGCAGAGTGTAGGAGGAGAATAGGGAAGGGGAGGGGAGGGGAGAGAGGGGAGAAGAGAGGAGAAGCAGAGGCTACTATACAGAGCCTTGTGATCTGGACATGGTGTTCCTAGAGTCACACTTTTGTGGTCCTAAAAGCTTCCATTTAATTGTCAATCCTCCTAACCATTTCTTCTTAGGGATTCATTAGTCTGAGATATTTAGGGAATATCAAGAGAAGGTGATAATTCACACACAACAAATTATAAAAAGGGTACAATAAATACTGGGGTTTTCAATGTATCATACACCATCCTGCTACTAAATTTTTGCTTTCTGAAGACAGAAAATTTTCTATAGCATGCATATCAGTATTTTGATTTTTGTACCCTGGACTTTATATATGCCTACAAAAGTAGAGGACTGTCTGGATTTAGCAAGGTAAGAATTATTTCCCTATGATATTCATCTATAAAAATTCAACACTATAAAAGATAGCTCTGTTATAGACAATCTGTAAAATTCAATAAATATGGAGGCAGAAGCGACAGGAGACAGAAAACTAGTTAGTAAATATGTGAAACCCACAAACATAGGAAAGATTTTTGCTTTCTCTTATTTTCCAGCAAAGTTATAGATAATAAAGCCAACTACTGTGAAAACAAAATTGCAATGTCTACTTGGGAAAACAGATCATTCCAAGAGAGAATGCAAAAGTCTTTGTGAGTCATTTCAGAAGTAATCAAGAGCGTCAGACTTAACTATGAAAAGGGGGGGGTTCTATCTCTTAAGAAAGATAATGAGAGGCTTGCCAATCACCAGTCTGCAAATCTTCAGAAAAGTATGACAAAATGTTTAGCCAGGAGGTGTGTGGAGCTGCAGTTGAGTCATAGTTTTTGGTGTCAAACCCAAGTGTGAGTCTTTCACGTTTATCTTTGCCACTTGCTGCAATTCTTCCATCACAAAAATCACTTTTTCTTTTCATACAAATTTTAATGCTCTGAAATTGGCATGCATCTTACAACTGGTGCACATATTTATTGTGGAGTGTTTCCTTTCTTCTGAAAAGCAGTAGTAAAATTGATGACATAGCCATTGGTT